AAGAAAATAAATTATGTTCACTATAGAACAACTCTGGCAAGCAGAATAAATTGAGTCTTACAGCCAATCGAGTCCTAAGAGCCATATCATCAAAATCTTGGCGGAAGTGGAAAGTAACACTATCAACAATGATAATCTTTACCTGGAATTATGTATTTAAAAATGGATCACAATGGATTAGTTAAGATGTAACAAAACAACTGATCAAAAGGAAAAGGAAAGAAACCCAAACCAAGAGTACTGCGATTGTCAACAATCCAATGCAACATATGAGGTCAATACTCAAGGATAAATTCAACATGTTTGCTGAAAAAAAAATGAATTTGATTGATGAAATACTATACTTACATCTTTATTCTCGATGATGAATTTGTCCAAGTAATTTATCAAAGTAATTTATCCTCAAGAATAGCTCCTGTTCTTTCTTCCGTTCCACTGCGTTCTTGTTGCGGGTAGCCAAGACTGAAGCAACGTTAATCATCTCATCTCTTCGCACTGTCTCGTCTGCGAGCTCCTTCTTCTTTCGCTCCAACTCCAGTTCCTAACTTGCTTCCGCTATTTAAGCTGGAGCTTTGGACTCAACGAGGTATTATAAATCTAAGAAGAGGATGAAACTATACGTGTCAATTATCTAAGTTTCTCTTTCCATTTGTTTGACGCGTAACTAAGAAAGAAAGAAGATGAAAAGTGAGGAAGCCACGCATGTAATTTTGTATCTAAGGTTGGGCTGTGATAATTATCAAAAAGATTGATATTTATTTTAAAAAATATTAAAAATGAAGTAAAAATAAAATATAATTGAATGTCTATGATGTTTATTAATAATTTAAATTTCTATTAATTGATTGACTCAATTAAAATATTAAATGAGTTAACAGTAATTACAAAAATAATCTTTATTATTTTTTAATTAGAGCTCGATTTATCTAAAATAAATTAATATTAATTAAAAAATCAGTTGCATATTATATTTCTATCATAGATCGATATATTGGTCTCTAATATAGCATAATTAGACACTAAAAAAGTATCTAAAATGAGTTAATAGTGACTAAAAAATCAATTATTATTTACTCGTGTATTTTAATTAGAGACCAAATATTTTTGTGGCAAATAATTTATTAGTGACTGAAATATTAGTTTCTTGTTATATTTTTATTAGAGACTAATATATTGGTTTCTAATATAGAACAATTAGATACTAAAAAAATGGTATCTAAATTTGAGTCAATAGTGATCAAAAAAATAGTCTCTAGTAATATTTAAATTAGAAACTAAAATATTTAGTCTCTAATTTTAGTGCATCTTAAGACTAAAATATTGGTTTCTAAAGTGTTTTAATAGTGACAAAAAATTTTGTCTCTGATTATATTTTAATTAGAGACCAAAAAAGTTGTATCTAATTAAATAAATAATATTTTTTAAACTATTAGCTACTAAAAGTTTGGTCTCTAATTACATTAAAAATATTAATGACAATAGAGATTGAATTAGGGACCAACTATAATCAATCTCTAAAATAGTATTTAAATAAGTTGTTAAAGTGACTATATAAATTTGGTTTCTAAATCAGTCTATGTTTAATAAATTTCTTGTAGTGACACCGGATGTTTAGGATGTTTAGTTTAATTACATGATCAGTTCTAAGTTGTTAGCATTGTTGTTTGAGAACCTTGGAGTCAAGGGACTCCGAGAGTTAAGTTATTTTTGTAATAGTGGATGTAGAGTTAAGTTATTTCAGCTTAAGAAACGATATATAAGATTTTTCTTAAGACGTGAATCTTATAAGTTCATGTTTTAAGAAATTCTAGAGAAAGGTTCTCTAAATCCAGACTTTCTTCTCCTTCTTCTAAATTGGAAATATTTCTTTTCATCCTTCTTGTAGTTGATTCACTTGGTTAGTCAAAGATTTCAAGCTTGTGGAGTTAAAAATCTCAAGTTTGAGGTCGGATGGAGTACATTTCTTCTCTTCTCTTCTCAATTTGGATTGATTAGAGGTAAGAAAAGCTTTGTGTTTGAATAATCAATGATGTATGAGGAGTGTTGATGCGTAGAATCATTGATTTATAATTGTTAATTGATTGAATTCATGAGATGAGAATTGATGAAGTTGGGTTTTCTTAAAATGTTGGTTGTGTGAAGAATGGTTGATGATCTTTGTGAATCTTGGTTGCATGTTGATTTTGGAGTTGTTTTTAAGTCTTACAAAATGAATATATGTTGTATATCTTGTTGCATGTTGGTTTTTGATTAGATTTCAGGTGGATTGGGCAATCTAGCTTTTTGCATAAGTGCATAAACTTGTGTCAGATTAGGCATGCCTTTAGGGTATCAAGCGTCACTTCAATCAGGTGTCTCTATTTTGCTCACATTAAGCATAAGACTAAAAGTGTTAGACATGAGGAGAGAGAATTGTCTCGGGTTGAAATATTGTTGGACGTGGTTTATTTGAATGATGTTGGACATGAGAAGAGAGAATTGTTTTTACCTAAATTGTCACTGAGCACCAATGGAGTGGCGCCGACACGTGAGTCAGGTAGGGGCCTTTGCTTAATTGGGGTCAAGCATGGGTTTTTTTCATGCCAAGCGAGAGAGTGGGAGGCTCTTTGCCTCAACCACATCAAGTGCAGGTAGTTTGGCACCAACTGTGGGTGAGACAGGAAGCCCTTGCCTTAATGGCGTTGAGCGCCCAAGGGATAACGTTTGACATGAGTTGTATAATTATAATGTGATGTTTTAAGTTGTCTTTATGATTGAAAGATGATGCTTAAGTTGTATGATGAAGATGATATGATGATGCTCATTATGTTTTAAGTTGATAAACTATTTAATGATGTTTGTGTTGTTAAGTTGTAAACTGATAAATGATGATGTTGTGTAGCTATATGATGCTAAAGTTGATTAAGTTGTTAAACATGATGTGTAGATACATGTCTTTGTTGAGATACATAGAAATTAGAGGAGAGTAAAACATGTTATAGAAATTAAAATATCTCATTGTGTAGATATAAGTTGTAGTGTTATGAGAACTTAGTTGAGAACCGTTCAGTAAGTAAGATACCTTCTAAATAGGTATTTATTTTAAGTTTTCTCTTCTAGGTTTTATATGGAATCCATATATGAACAATGTCGAGGCGTACATGTATAAAGTGACCAACCAAGTAAAGTACAAGGTCAAGGACTTAGTTCCTACTTAAGTATGTGAAGGACATAGTATTTGAAGGGTAGTCGGTGGATTAATCTTATAGGAAGCTTAGTGTTACAAACTAATGTCATGGTAGACTCGTACTTAAATTTCTTTATCCTAACAATAGTACTAAACTTTCAGTTTAAGTGGTGACACTTGAGAAATCAAATTAAGTTGTTAAATAAGTTATTTAATAGGCCTAAGGTTCTCTATACTTAACTTAGTTGTGATAAATGTTGTGTTTCAGTAGAGTTTAGTCGCTTAAATTGCTTATCCTTATTGTAAGAGATCTTCTTATGTGTGACGACACTTAAATGTTTATTTTTATTTATGTTGGGTATGTTGATTGAGCTGAAGTTAATAAGTTGTATTATATAGCAAGTTGTACGCGTGTGATACTTGATGATACGTTGAAGTTTCATGGTGAATGAATGTTGTTGTTTAAGTCATTTAAGTTATTACTTAATGTTGTTATTGAATGTTGATTCTTTTCACAAGTTTGACCTTCTTTTTCATGTGATTGAAACTGCAATGATTATTATTAGTATGGGAGAAAGGCAGGATTAACAAATTGCTTGAATGGTTGATGGCAAATCATGCTAGGGATGACTCTTTTGTGTTACAACTACTCTAATGTAGCATAGTTGTGTATGGACATTTTGACCAACAAGTAGGGTTTATTTTGTATATAGTCAAATATTTGATGTAGATTGTATATGAGTATAGGGTATGTATATAAATCTATAAGGGAATTTATGATTTTTAGTATTATGTTTGTTGTCATATACATGTATAAATTACATAAATAACCAGACAACTGTTATATGAAAACCCTAGGTTAGTAATGAATATTTATTTTACACTATGTAATAATTGAACTATAGTAATTGTGGTAACCTTTTGGGTCATTATATTTGTTCCTTTGATTTGTAAGTTTGTAATTTGCAGGAACCTTTATTCTCTGAACTTGATTTTTAAGTTTATAATTTGTATTTGTTGAGCAGATATACAATATGCATTTTCAATTTCATGTACTTGAACTAATCTGGATTTTTTGATTCATTATTTCCATTTTTATTTCTTTTGTATTTTTTTATGCAAATTGGCCCATCAACCCACTTTTAAACATGGCAAAACAAAATGTCCACCTTGTTCTCGTTTAGCAATCAAGCCTAAATGGGTTTACCCTTGTTCTCGTTTAGCAATCAAGCCTAAATGGGTTTACCCATTTTATCAGATTCATTTCATATTATCTCATATATTAATATTTTTATACTAAAATATCTCTAATTAAAATATATTTCTTAATTTAGTAAAATGTGTTACTTATATATTATATAGATTTTAATTGGTTAGGAAAAAGCTGAATACTAATTATGAACAATATAAGGTATATGGATATTAATTAAAAATAATAATATAAAAATAATTATATATATATATATGATAAATTTATTATTATTAATTAAATTAAAAAAGTTTTAATCTTAATGAATTAGTTAGTTGAGTGTTATATATAATAAGAAAGTTAATAATTTCTTTTAGAAACATAAAATATAATTACTTCAATTTTAATTATAAAACAGTCAACAAAATCACATAAATGAAGATAATAACCCCAGTATTGAAGCGCTAAAATATTTCCACTAGATCCACATTTCCGAGTTCCATATTTTTCTATAACTCAATTCAGAGTTCTTTATGTGGGGCCTAACTGGAATGAATAAGATTCGTGTAATGGAATAAGAAGTGCACCCAAAAAAAAAATAGAAGCTTTAAGAGCATGCAGAAGGACAGATGGAGAAAAAAGAAATTAAAGAAAGAGTGAACCACTTAAATTAATAATAATAATTGATAATTGATACGTGGTTCGTTATGTACAAATTTTGTGCTGTATGAAACAAATTTGCTCTGCCTCTACCTATACTTCTCTGCCACCAAAGAATCCAATACTATATTTTAACTTTTTACCAAGGCCGACAACCTCTTCTGCAATTCCCAATCTGTCCTAAATACTTCCCCTCTTCACGCAAAGCATTTAAAATGGTAGGGACCCAATCCCTCCAGCTGTATATTATATCATCGGTTTTCACCTACCAAATCCAACCCAACCAACTACTGTCTATCACCTTTACTTTTTATGTACACAAACCCCAAACCTCAAGCAAAGAATATTATGCTCTAAAACTTGCAAGTATCTTCCACACTCTCCTAAATTCCCTCTCTGCTTTTAAGAACAAGATTTTATCAGACCCAAATTGTAAAGATTCTTTCTCACGAGGCTACCCAAACACAACAACACTGCCCCACCAACCCCAACTGCTTGATCTTCCCTTTCTGCCTTCTGATGGCACACAAATGCCAACTCTTTCACTTTTAAATTGCTTAACCCAACTTTCTGCCTTACAGATTCGATGATTTTTTTATCAGCTGGGTATCCTATCGCATCCGTTACATAGAAAACATTCGATGCCATGTCCCCAATGGTTGATATCTCGGCCCTTGTCACATTCAATCCATTCTCCCGGAACGTTCTCATCACATCTGCTAGAAGTCCTTGTCTGTCTTCCATGCATAACTCTAGCTTAACACCCTGTATCAAAAATTAGCAGTTAATAATCTGAGGCAGTGCATAAGGCCATAATAGTAATTTAAAAAGTAAAAAAAGTGAGGTAGAGATACTATACCTCATATGCCCTTCTCTCCACAGCAGCTTGCAAGCATTGAATCACGCGATGGCGTTCTGGTTCTGAACTAATTGGGGTTCCATCCCTGTGTCTTATATAAAACTCCTGTAGATAATTTATTTAACGTTAATTAAGCATATAAACCAAGCAACTGACCAAAAAACAACATAGTTGATGATGCCTAATAATTACCAGATACGCTTGGTCGATTGTTGTCTTAATAGTTGCATGGAACACAACATATTCCATGTCAGTCAAATTGCACACGACATCAAACAAAAGCTTGATTCGATCCTTGCACTGAATATTGACAACAGAATAACCCCTTTCTGCCCAATTTTGGACAGTGACCAATGGGGAATCGGAAGTAAACTTGAAAATGGGATTCCTCTGGTAATCACGGTCCGCGTACATCATTTGGTGTAGCCTTCTTTCCGTGTGCACAACGGCATGAGTGATGGAAGTTTTTGCACTTCTAATGTCATTGTCACCCTTTAAAACATTTCTTAACCGTGCTTCAATCGTACTAATTTTCTGAGAGTCCTCAATAAGGGTCCCGGAATTGCGGTCTTTTACATAGATTAAGGAGGCAATACGACCATTATGGGTCCAAACCTTAGCATCAACCACATCACATTTCTGCTCAGCCAGTACCGCAAAAACCTCTGAAAGAAGACCAACACGGTCTGTGCCAGTTAATTCCAGGATAGTGAGACCGTTTGAGTGGTTGGTTTTACCATTGTGAATGCTGCCAAGTGACTGATACATAAATTGAGAGCGATTATTAATATTGCAATAAATACCCATTAATTGCCATATAAATTTTAAACAGTAGTAACATTTAAAGTAAATTAGAAGCTACAATTAATACCTGTTCAATATAATTTAAGACGCTCTCATCTGTTAGCTTGTTTCCGTTTTGATCCGTAACGTGGAAAACTGTAAATTGAATTCAAGGCAAGGATTAGCGCACCAGGAATCAAAATTACGACTGCAAGGAAAGGGAAAGGAAAATTAACTTACCATCCATGAACCATCTGCCATCAGAGGAAATGTAGGCCTTCTTAATTAAAAGGTTCAGATCAGAGAGCACTTGTACGGCATCCAAAAGAATCCCGTGTTTTCTGGCGCTATCAACCTTCAAATTTTATCATACAAAAAATCATTAGTATTTTATTATCCTGATTTACGGGAAAACCAACATTGACGGATTTTCGTGCGGGGTTACCTTGACTATTGTCGCAGTGGAGCACACGGTATTGTCTATGACAACCCTGTTTCGTAGTGAAAGGTCAAAGTCAGCGTAATTCCAGGTTTTTGACAAATTTCTATAGTGAATGGAAACACAAAAAAAAAAAAGGGCAAAGTAATGTGAATGCAAAACAACATTCTGGAAGAAAAGGAAAAGTCAGAAAATTGTTAAAATACAGTTGTCGGTTCAAATCAATTTGCCAAAGCGGTGGGGATTAGATAAAACATGCTTTTTCTCCCCCTTCGAGATGTTCCCAATTTTTGACACAGTCTCCCATGAATAGAAAATTAAATTATTAAACCCTGGATACCTAGGGGAAGGTTTGAATCGGTGGCCAATACACATCTCATGAGACAACAAGGTAAAACAGAATTGAACATACACAAACAGAAAAGTAGCATCTAATTTCAAAACCTAATGGAATTTCAAAATAAGAGGGTTCGAATTTGGAAAAGCCGGAAACATTTTACCAGAGTAGTGAAAGAAGAAGAATAAACAAACAAATTGCAACAGGATTTTGAGAAAAGCTGAAACAAGTGGCAGAAATAACAGAAATAAACGGTGGAGAGACAAACCTGGGTGTGCTCATGCGAATTAAGAGCTTCTCGAACTCGTCCGTACATGGTGGCCACTCCATGTTGGTAGCGAGGAAAGAATCAAGCTCTGGTGGGCACAGGAAATAGCTAAGCGCTATTAAATAATACTATTAGTAGCACCTAACCCAAACGACGTCGCAGTAAATATTGGCGATGTGTCTGAGTGTAGATGAAATAGGATAAAGATTCTAAACGGTGGCTTTTAATGCAGCACCTCCTTCGATCCAATCGCCATAAACAACTCTTACCAAACTGTGTGTTCGTTGGGATTGTTGTGACTTGTGAGAGTGCGAGAGTTACTATCCTCTCGCTTCTTCAACCCTTGATCTTAACCCTGTCTCTGCCTCCTTCCAAAAACGCACATATTACTACCTATTTATATTTAACACATTTAATTCCTACCTCTATTCTTTATTTATTTAAATTACAAACCACGCGGGGAGAGGGAGAGAGAGAGAGAGAGAGAGGTTTGGTTATGAGTTATGACATGGCGTGACTAACGCCTGCCCCTAACACTGCCCGTGCTGACCACAATTACTGTTATCTTCACCAACGGGTGAAAGTTGAAACAATCGGTCCAGCTGGGACGACACGTGGACTTTACTTGTGTTGCTTTGCGTGCTTTGGACTCAACAGCACAGCGCCAACAACAGAAGAAGGGTACACCATTCCACGTGGCATTCTGCCACCATAGTAACTAACAATCGAGTAATCTTCGTAATTAAGTTGTGATTTGCCGACGCTAATTATGACGTCCGCACGTGACAACCCCGCTAGTATCGCCTTTTCCTCCGTCCCTTCTTTTGTTCATCTTCACTTGTATTTCTCCTTTTGTATTTCTATCATGGATCTTTTCATCCATAATTTTTCTTCTATTCATTCCTCACATTTTCAAATTATCATCAATCATTAATCTTCGTATATAATTAATCCTCCCTCAACAACATTTATAATGGCGCTTTTAAATAAGGAATACAATCATTTCCATTATTAGCAAGATCATCTGCTCCAGAAAATACTACTATATGCTATATAATCTACTAATTGCATTAAAATTTATTTTAATTTTTTCTGTTTCAAGCGAAATATGTTCGATTATGTTACAATAACGGTAAACAATCCATTTTATAATTAACTTACCTTAACAGCATTTTTCAATAATTTATAATATTTGGATTCTTCTATCTTTTAAATTAAAACACATAAAAAATATATAATGTACTATTATTGAAATTGTTTTACGCTAATAGTACACAATTAGCTAGTAAATCCTAAAAATAATATGCACGCTTCCTGTATCAATTTTATTTAATACTAAAATTTTAATTATACTAGTAATGATCTTGTCAAAACAAATTATACTAGTAATGATTATTTTTTATTTTGTTTTTGTAATCGACAAAAATCGGCCTTGGGTTCAAGAGAAAAATGCATACAATGAGTAGGTGAGACTCAATTATGAAATTCAGTAGTTTATAAAGAAATTTAATGCCATGTAATTTTTACTTATAATGTATTTGGTTTAGAATTAGTTAAAATTTCATTACTCGTGATGACAATATAATCCGGAACATGCTTTTATTATTAATTTTTTGCTTCTAATCCGGAATACGCTTTGCATATATAACTCGCACCCTATGTTTTTTTTACTAGGTTTGTTTCTCTATATTTGTTAGCGGTTAATCCTCACTAATAATCAATTTTGACCAATAACTACTTTTTTCTATAAACTCAAGCTTGTAACATTTAAAGAGGTTTCTAACGCTAATAAACGCAAATTATTTATTGAGTTATCGTTTTTGAGTTTTCAAATTATTTATAAAATAAAATAAATAAATAAATAAAAACAGGCCACATTGCTCTGCTTTAATTAAAAAATATTGAATGATGCCCCTAAAAATATTAAATAACATAATTATTTAAATACTTCATTTAGCCTATGCTTATATCGAGAGAGAAAAAGGACCATTTTTTAGAGTTTGAAACATTTCCTTATTTGATCGAGTAAACAAAAATAAAACAGTAGAAAGAATTAAAATTGAGTGTTTAATTTTTCCCCAAATGAACCAAATAAAGGGTTAAAGTGGTAGTAAATGACACCAATGATAACTCATTTTTCTCGAAAGGACAACAACCATGTGAACCCCTTAGGTATTATTTTATTTCTATGTATAATGTTCTCCTATAATTATTAGGTATGATTTTTCTTTTTTTTTGATAATTAATTATAGATATTGGAAACTTGTAACGGGATTGGTTGCGAACAATATAGGCGCACGCATGAGTGATAGTAGAGGCACGTCGAGAGAATGAGTTTGAACATCATTCTCTCGTTTTTTTGGGGTGAATATATGATGAGTTGTTGTAAGGGTGTTATTGAGATTAGGAACAGGCGTCGGAGAAAGAAGAATGTTGAGCAAAGGTGGGAGCCACGAAGGAGGGGGCAGAGGCAGAGATAGAGTGAGAGTTGGTATGTCACATGCACCGCAAGCACGTCATAAAAGACGTCGGTGAGTGACGGCGTTAGCCGGCAGGGGAAGGGGGCAACGGAAGAGACAAACGGCCGTCGGGTTCACAAGGGGGAAGGGAGGGTTAATTATTCCCGCCAAGTAGATATTGTGGACCTAAAAACTAAAAAGGTGCATGGGCCACGCAGTATTTGAAAATGGGTTCGAAAATTGGAAGCGTCTGCGTGAGCGCGCCTTTTGGTAGGGGTTCAAGGGCAAAGTAGGAAGATGAGTGATGCCACGTCATTCACAATCACTATTTTATTTTTCTCTTTCTTGCCTCTCCCTTCTCCTCGCGCCGCTTTTTGACCCTTATCACTCATTCTGGCGCCAAATTCCAAAACCTCACTTTAAACTTTAAACCTCTACCCAACTTATACTTTCTCCATACAATCACTACTCACTAGTCACTAGTACTATCTTTTTGCCTACGCTGCACAATAATTTTCCCCACACTTACTTTCATAATCTTCTTAGTTTTTATCTAAAATAATATATAGAAAATGTACTTAACTATAAGAAAAAAATTGTGCTTAGTAACTACGAATTTTTTACGGAAGTGGAATTTTTTTTACTAAAAACACACTTATTACACTTTATTTATACATCTAACATTATTCATTGTTCACACACAGAATTCGATTCCCGAAAAACCGAATTCTGAGCTTCAATATATTTTTTTTTTGTCATTAGAATTCAGTTCCCCAGTAATCAAATTCTGAGTAGTTTTTAATTTTTTTTTATTTGTGGCCCAGAATGCGCGAATCTTGAAACTGGAATGGGCCAGTTTGTTTGTGGCCGTTCCAGTTTCAAGATTCGCGCAATTTGAACCACAAACAAAACAAAAAATAGGAAACCGAATTCTGATCACAAATAAAAATATATAAATATATATATTGAAGCTCAGAATTCAGTTCTCCCGAATATCGAGTATGAATAGTGAATGGTGCTAGATGTGTAAATAAAGTGTAAAATGTAGGTTTTTGGTAATTTTTTTTTAAAAAACTTCCACTTCCGTAAAAAAATTCTAGTAACCGCTATCATTTTAACATACAATGTATCGATTTAAAACAAAAACAAAATTTTTAGAATTTTTTTATAAAATAATTTCTTGTGTTTAGATAAACTCTTTAAAAAAAAGTAGAAGCAGGAAAAAATGTTTCTTTTTTTGAAAAGTAACTCCAAGTTGTTTCTAAAAATAGCGGTTGTGATAAAAGAGAGAATATAATTTAAAAAAAAAAAAAACGAGAGTAATTTTACTAAAAAAATATTTTTTATAATTATTAACAGACAAATATCAATTTCTATTTATTTAAAATTTAAACAAACAAGAACGTACTCTTACAAGTCTTACCACAGTACTCATTTTTCGTTTTTAGCATAAATTGCTCAGAACTGCTTGTTTTGGTCTTGAAATATGCCGGCAGCAACAACTTTTCCCTTTGACGAAACGGGCATTAGAAAATATATGTAATATATTATGTATGATGTAAAACATATAAATATTTGTACTAAAAACATGATTTTAAATTTAGTCAAAATTTAAGGATGATAATACACATGCATCTTTAAATTAAGAACTATATTGTAAAATTCGATCATTTTTTATAGAAGTATTGTAAATTCGATCAATAAATGAAATGTCTAACCATTATATTAAACTTTTATTCAAAGTGTAATGGAAACCATATTAGGTTATCAGAATATTTTAAACTACTGTTCAGTGAGAGGGCTTAATTGTATCACTTCATTGTTTAAAAAAAAACGTTTTGCGTTTAAAATGTAATACTCTTAATTATAAATAATTATTGAGAAATATGTAGTCTCTATAAATAAATAATAAAAATGCATGAATACACTAACAGATAAAAAAAAAATTTGAATTTAATTCATCTTATTGATAGTTTGTTTGGTAAATTATTAAACCACAAAAGATGTAATATATTAACGAATGATTAAGCTAACACTGGGTTTATTTTTATTGATATAATCTTTATTAAATTGAATTTTTTATTGGAAAAATATAAATTAAATAGTTAGAACAGATATAAAAAATTATAAGATCAATATGATATATCGCATTAATGAACGGTTATACTAGAATAAAGTATTAATATTATTTTTGGATCACTACGTTGTTAGCATAAAGTATCCACCGATTCATTTAGCTGATACCAGTAAAAAGAAAATTCATTCAATTTTTTTTTTCATTCACAATGTTAAGAGCCGAAATATTGTTTAAAAGATCCGATTCAACTTTTACTCGAACTAACGATACATTGAAATACAAAATATTATTATATTGTCATAATTGTACTGTTAACATTGTTTTATATGTTTAAAATTAATATATAACATTATTAGTTATATATATCGATTAGATTATTTATTGGTATAGCATATTACTTATTTTGCTTATCTATAAGACTTATATCAATAATCTAACTTATAAATAATTTTTTATTATATTATTAATTTAGGGTATATTTGGTTGAACTAGCTAATAAACTAATTAAAAGAGCTTATAATATTTTTTTTTTGAAATAGAAGCCTTAGTTCTAGATAAAATCTTTTTAATTATCTTTTCTTTTCTGATTTCTTTTCACTAAATCAGAGGAAATAAAAGTCTTAGTTTCAATAAAGCAAACACCTACCCAGACATTGTAGGCTGCTCTACACTCTCTATACACCTCTAGGATGACTAGCTCTCACAAAATAATCTCTAGAGATATAGTCTGACTTGTTACATCTAAAACACTTGTTCTCAATATGAGAACAATTCTTGACAAAGTGGACCCTACAAATTTGTAACATCTAGCACCCAAAGCTCCACCCTAAGTAATAGCAAGAAACCTCCTTGTAATAGAGCTCCCTAATGTTGAGGAGGTCTGTCAT